GGTATTCTAGTATTGTTTAACAGTGTGATTAATTTTTGACAGTTCTACTCATAACACCAGAGAGGAGGAGTTTAGTTAATCAGACTTCTCTTGTTCTGCATTTGCAAACAGGAATTGTCCATCAGATGAAACAGTTGTGTTTAAGGATTCCTGTATATGTGCTTATAAAAGGTGATGGGGTCACAAATGGCTAATTCTCCATCAACCGTAATCTTTCCATTTCCCATACTTCCATCTTATTGTGGGTTTTTTCAATCAGTCAGAGGCATTGGACATTACAGAAATACTTCTGCTGTAAAGGATGGTTTTTGATTTTTAAGTGGGTGGCATAGCTGCGTCAAGATTTCCTAGATAAGCTTGCCAGATATGTATTTTGGGCTCTAGACCTGTCTGTCCAAGGAAGAATAAAATTACCAAAACACACAAACATCACCCTTAGCATTTCAGAACAAGTGGCCAAAGCAAGACTAACTGAACTCTGCAGTAGCATTGCTTTACCAAGAGATTCCTTCAAACTGTGAGCTGCATGCTCACTTCTAGTGCTATATAAGTACCAAGACAGACAATGTTTGTCAAGAGTGCGTATCAGTAACTTTAAGGGCAAAAAAATTAGATGGATTTTTCAGTTATCCCCAAACCAAGCCTTATAAACCCAGAAATCCAGAATTAAAGTTTTACTTAAAAGAGACCAATTGTGTTACAGTAGGGAAATGCACAGTTTGGGCACCCAAACAACCTTACCTCTGCCCTGTAGTAACACCATGTAATAACCCATTTAAAGGAGGGCGGATTAATGATCACAACGGTCCTTCTGGTTTGGGGATTTATGATTGACATTTTAGACCCAGATTTAAGTTTCATACGTTTAAACAAATGTTTTATTTTCCTGGTGTCAATAGAGTATTTACACACAAAGCTAAGCAATCTCACTGGTGAATCTGGGTATTGAACAGGGATTCTAAAATAAAGGTGCTTGGAGCCTTGTTACATGTCTGGAAGGGGGTGCTAGGCCAGGGATGGGTTTCTGGCAGAGGAAATGGGGCAAGCCATGATACCTCTATGGAGAAGAGGCTTGGCCTTTCTCTCCTGTGCAGCTTGACACCTGCTGCCAGGCTGTAGAGGAGTGGATGTTTGAAAAGCAGGTGGGTAGCTAGGAGTGCAGGTCATGAGGAGAGAACCAGAGATCTGGGTCACTTGCTCTGTGTGTTTAGGGGTAGTGGTGCAGGGGAAATCAGTGATGTGAAGCTGGGGAGGGTAATGCTGAGTATACTTGTTAGTGGGACAGATTTAAAAGACTGTAAGGGTGACAACTATGCATTCTGTTCTCATCTGCTTAAGCTACTTAAGGTCTCCTAACTGGGAATTGATCTATGAACCCTGGCTCTCGTTTTGTATAAATGCAGGGGAAAATGGAACTACAGGAAACTACTCGTGTATGGAAGCAGCGGACACACATCATGAGGTTTTTCCACGAGACAGAAATCCCACGACCCAAGGACTTTCTGTCCAAGTTCTATGTGGGCCATGACCCTTGAGACAAACTGACTGAAAAACTAATTCTGTATTTCACTGTCTTACTGCAAATAAAGCTCTGTTTAGTGGAGAGCAGTCTTGAAATTCTTCATGAGGGAAGTATCCATCTCAACACTGTGTATGCCATTGTACTGATACAATGGGTTGTGCGCAGCAAGGATCCTATCTTCTGTTCCTGTCCCCTTTTTAAAATATTGTGCTTGCTCTGGAATATCTTGTAGCATGAGAAAGTAACCGTCAAGTATACACTGAGCTAAAGTAGGTTGGGGAAACTTCAATCGATTAAACATCTAGTGAAGTAAGACTGTCCTTGATATGGGCATAGGATATTAAGTACAAGCCACCTCAGAAGGAGTTGGAGAACTGTATGGAACTGGCCAGTACTGAAATTCTATAGTGGGGCCCAGGGCTACTGTATTGGAGGCAGCTGTTGATCAGTTAGTATGTCCAAGCATAACTAAAAATGTGCTAACTTTACCTAGCTGGTAATTCTGGATATGCTACTTGAGTCAAGTCTATCTTAAAAAAACAAACCCAAACTCTCCGCCTTGGTCTGCTTGCTTTTTTCCCGGCAACACTTATTGTACACTTGCCTATGCAATTGACTACAACCTATTAAAGCTGGTATCAAACTTGTTGAGAGCTCGAACGTCAGCAGCTAACATAACTATCTGTTACTCTTGTGGGGAATTTCTCAAACACTTCAGTGCCTGAGCTAGTCTATTTGCAGCTATGAGTGAATGCTGTGGTGGCATAGAATTAAATTAATATTTAGTCAGCACTCTGAAGCCAAATCCTAATATCTTCATGTGTTAATACTTGCCCAAGCATTATGTGGGCTAACCCTTGTCACATGCTTTGTCTGTAGTCAGGGCTTTGGAGCTGTGCTCCAGCTCCAGGCAAAAACCTGCAGCTCCGCTGCCCCCTGCTTCAGCGCCGTGCTCCGCTCCAAGTCCCTGTCTGTAGTCCTGTCTACATTCCAACTAAGATCAGGGCAAGAGGAACCCTTTTTGAATACTGGTCTGAGACTTTAAGGACCATTGAAGATTCTAGCATGGGACAGATACCTTATGACTGAGTGCTGTCTGTGGCAAAGTGTAACTAGCTCTCTCTATGGTACAGCCAGAGTCTGTTTTTGTTGGGGGAAAAGTGAAATAAGCCTCATCATTGGCCATGCATCAAGGAAAGATTTTTCAGTAGCATGTAAATTATTTTAAAAACATCCTAAACTTACTGTCAGCTAAAACTTGAAATGGGTTAGTGCTCTTTGTAATACTAGAATTAAAATAGCTTTACAATTAATATTTTCAGTGGATATATTCTTGAGATATTAAAGATAGTGGCACCTTCTTATGTATGTGATAGAAGGGGTCTTCTGCCACCAGTGATTACTTTTCCTCTGCCCTTGTAGAGTTGTGGCTCCCCATTTCATGCAGAAGTCTGTCTGCTTGGGGTGGAGGTTGTCTTATCAGTGGTTCTACAAGGCCGGCAGAAGGCAGTGGGAGGGTGTAGAGAAACTTGGGTGTGCAAGCTTCTGCATAGCTTACAGCCCTGGATATGTGAATTGGGGTCACTACACAAAAGCAGGATAGCCTTCAGGAAAGCACCTGCACCTTACCTGGTTACACAAGCACTCTTGCACTGTGGAGTAGCAGAATCTGGGTTATGCAACTTTCTCTACCCCCACTTTCTTCACATCACTTATCCTGTCTCTGAACTAACAGCTGTCTTCTCCCTTTGACATTCTCTGCTCAGCCTCACAGGCAGAGGGACTGGTGCTTCTGGGGAAATTAAATATTAAAATTATAAACATTTAACATACAAATCTGCTCCCCTTTAAAAAGAGAATCTTATAAACAACCAATGCTACTGCTACTTTCCCACCCCAATAGGCAAGTCCCTGAAGAGAGATGGGTGGTCAGCATTGTTACTAAAAGGTCAAACTCGGGCTGTGGAGGAGCACCTAGGGAAGTGCATAGCAGAGGCCAAGTCTCTCACTCTAAACACAATCTACTACCAGCACCTTTATGTTTAAATCAAGAATTACTAGCTGAACTGTCTTAGCTAACTTTGGTAGATCACAAGAAGAGAAAGCGGTCTCTTGAGTAGTAAAAACCCTTTATAGGTCCTATTGCAAAGGCATCAAGTCCACCAATAGAAAATAGTAAGCCATTGCAGCTGTTGGACTGGTATGTTTGTGTCTGCTAGGACCTAAGTAGATGCACTTTGTATCACCTATAGACTTCCAGGACTCTGAGTACAGCACAAAATCAAGCATGCTGAAATACTCTGACCTAGAAGTCAGAAAGCAATAGATTATTAAATCCAGCTCTGCAGAACAAGGTAACAAACAATTAACATGATGGGGCCTGCAGGCTTCTTAAAATGTTCCTGTTCAGGGTATCAGACTGTTGACAGATCTGAAAGAATGAATATGGGTACTTGTCCACAGCCAGAAGGCAAATGAGATTAATGTTGTCTTTGTGCCTATATCAGGATTAAAAGGAAACAAGGAATTTTAAGATTTCCAGATAAGTGAGGCCTCAGCAGAGCCTTTTCAGGAATTAAAAGAGAAACAGAGGATGTGATACAAGGGGAGATTTCTAGCATTGAGGGATGGCTTCTTGAGAAAAAGAATAAAACTCATTAAACAGAAGAGATGCTTTCCTGCAACCACCTTACCACATAACTGTGACACCCAATACATTCTGGGATATTTGAAATATAAATAAGCTATTGTTTTGTTAGCCAAACCTGGCAGGAAATACTCCAACCACACACAAGCAGCCAAAGGTAAAACCTTCAGTGTCTACATGGGTCAATTTAACTGCAACAGTACATACCTTTTAAAAACAAAAAGTCCAGGAAACTAAATGTATAGCATTAAGGTTAGCACAAAGTCAGAATATAAGACACACTAGGTTTCTGATAGTATGTTCACTCAACCCCAGTGCAGATATGGAGTAATTTCTGATAAAGTGTCTAGCTGACTACTTCCTTGTTTATGAAATGCCACAAAACATACATGGTGTAGCTGACATTTGGTATTTAGTTTTATACTCTGCATTAGCTGACTTCTTAATTTTAACTCTGCAATCTTAAAGTTGCAGTTTATCCTTAGTGTGAGGTGACGTTAATAGTACTTAATGCTATAGCAGGTTGCATGGGAGCTTTATAGTAACCCTAGATCCAGTGTCATTTTGCAGTGATTGCCTTTCAAAGCAGGTGAGTCCACCTGCAGTGGCTTTGCATAGTCCAAAATGAATTATTTTTCTATAGTCAGCTGACAGGTTTTAAAGTAATGCAATAGATTTCAGCCTACTGTGGTCCTTTTATATACTTCCAGTAGAGCAAAAGAAGTGACAAAACCTTAGCCAAAAAGAAGTAAGAACATATAAAGCCTGAAGCATCAATGCTAATTAACAGGAACTTAGCTGATAAGTATTAAAACAAACAACAAACCCTTACATGGTTCAGTCTGCCATTCTTTATTCATAATCTAATCATTTATATGGTGCAGGCTCATTATTACAGAACCCCAAGTGGCCTCAGGAGGTGAAAGGTACAGCAGGCAAGGGTTGCTGGACCTACTGTATATACACCCCTTCCCAACTGCCATATAGACATGAAGAGAACATTCACTGGTACAGAGGGAGGTCCAACTGCGCCTCCTTTCCTCTTTAAAATGAGGGAGGGGGCATGAGGAGACAGTGATGTCAGAACCAGTTCTTTGTCTATGGCTTTCTCCTTTCTGTTCCATTACAATCCTGAAAAGAGGTAAAAAGAAATGTTAAGCCAGCACTATGGAACAGCCCCACGCTATTCTTCAGCTAGACAATACTGATTCCAGTCCATAATTAACAAGGGCAAAGCCCATAAGCAGAGTCATGTGAAACAAGCTTCCTTTGCTGATAACTACACACATTTAAGCTATTCCCTATTTTCAGCCACAATTGTATGGCTGAAAATAGGGAATGCACCAATTTGACAGTAACTGCGAACTTTTCAGAGGAAAATATGGCCAGGGGACCATGGAAAAGAGGATTAACAAAGGACATGTATTCACTAAACTGATATGGAAAAATTATAGAATGTTTATGCTGCTGAACCTCTAAAGGAAACACATGCACTCCACATAAAATATATTACCCCATTTCATCTTATGCCACTTGCCTTGTCCTCATTAAGTAATATTTGATGTAAAGTAGATAAAGAGAGAGTTGAAATAATACAAGACTGGGAGCAATCAAAGTTTAATCTTCATTATTATAAACCATCATAATTTATTTAAGTCTTCAGCCTGAAGGATCTGACTGCTCTTAAGACTACATAGGTAAGGACCAGTCACCACGTGAGAATGCAAGCTTTGGTATGGAATACAAGTCATCCTCTGAATTAATAGGGGATTTTTTAAGTAGGTAATAAAATTGAAATTAGCTTAGGACACCCTAAGCTACCCCTAGGGGTAGCTTGCAATGTGCTATGGCAATGGTCCCCAAACTGTGGGGCATGCCCCCTAGGGGGGCATGGATGAACATCTGGGGGGGTGCAGCGGGGCCTGGGCCAACCTGGGGAGGAAACACCACCCAGCCCCGTCCCCAGCCATGGCTCTGGCCCCCAGCCCTGCTCCCAACCAGAAGGGCACGGACACATTCCATTACAGGTAAGAGGGAGCACAAGAGGAAACGTTTGGGCACTACTGTGCTATGGTAATACGAATAACAATACGAACCATCAAATTCTGTAGTCATTACAAATAGCCAGTTTGTTTTATATCTGACCCAAATGACAAGACTTTGAACACATTACCAGTTTAGTACTAGCTCAAAAGCAAGAGTCACCTACAGCATTTATGTATTCTTTAGACTAGGTCTCATTCAAATACTGATACGATCTGATCCGGATCCAGCATATATATAAGATCACAGACAGAGGTAGTACATCTGCAGGTTTTTATGAGATCAAGCACCAGTACTGAATGTGCAGCAATTTTCCAAAGCAGTAGCAGTCTGCATCACCCAATTACATAATCCCCTCCCTCTCCCATGCCAAACAGGTAATACAAGTAATTGAACTGTTAGTGGCACTCATGTCATACCTTTAATCATCATCATCATCATCTTCTGGGACAAAGATATCATGTTCCTCGAGCAAGGCTGCAAAATTCTTACTGATCTGAGTCCCGATGTAGAGGAAAGGGATCACAACGGTAAATACTCGTAGGAGGCCAAAGGGCATCTGTACATGTTCAGTCAAAACAAATTAATCTCTATCAGCAAGTTCTATTTTGGATCAACTGATGTGCATTAATCTAATAGAGCAAAGAGGGAACTTTAAACTTCTGAGACCACATCTAGAATACTGTGTTCTGTTTTGAGCATTCATAAAGATATTAATAACCTAGAGGGAATTTAGAGAAAAGATACAAACCTGATTAAAGATTAGAATGAACAAAAAATTAAGTGCGTAAGGAACCAGAAGAATTCTTCTGGGTGATAAAGGGATATAATTAGGAGTAATAGGACTAAAACATCTATGTTTCCTCTACAATGTAAATATCTTCTATATTAAGATATCCAGCTACAGCAATTCTGTTCCCAAACACTTACAGCACAGTCTTGTAGCACATGTGACATCATTCTGTATTTTACCTATATTCCCAAATTGTGCTATTGGACTTTGTAAAGCTGTAGTACCCTTTGGAAACATGTATATAACATGCCTCCAAACCTATTTCCACAGCAAGACTAAACCACATTGTAACAAGGTCCTCCAACAAGACATATTTTATTGAACAGAAGGGACTTTACTAGGTAGAACAGTCTCCCTAAGGAAATGGTGGTATTAAACGCAATCAATAGTAATTTAAAAGTTAGGCAGAACATTGAATACTATTAAACAGAATGGTGAAATCCTGTCTATTCATCCACTGAACTCTTTGTTATGAAGCAACTTTATTCTTCTATAGCACCCTTCATCCTGCAGCATCCTCAGGTGTTTTTATGGATTAAATACACTGGGAACCCTCAGCTACCACTGTAATGCACCTGGAAAAAGGCAGTTCTGTTTGTGTCAAGGAAGGAAAGTGAAAAAGAACTTCTGCACTATAAACTCTAAGGGAGGTTTTAGGAAGGCTGATTAACTACTTGACCCAGAATTTGACTAGTGGGTTTAAGAATCTTACTCTTGCAAAAAGTGTCACTGGATTTCTTAATAACCATGAGTGACCAGCGTTTTTATTTTGTAGCATACCTGAAAAACTGCACCTCAAATAATACAGTGTCCCAATACCATGCTGGACAGTTGGTTCTCTAATAACTCAGGGGAATGATGGCCACCTCTGTGATCGCCAATACCATTTCCAGCATTACCATATTATGACTTGTCCCAGGCAAGTACTGATCCCAGGCCCCACCCATCCTGTTCAGTTTATGATTGCTGACAAGACCACAGCCTGAGCTGATAGGACTTAATTCTAATCTATTATAACGTGAATGTCACTGGGCAGTTGGACACACTGGTTTCCCCCGTCCCATGCAGCCCTCTTGAAATGTCACTGTTTCGAACACACTGGTTTTAACAACCCAGCATGTTAACTAACCATCAGCCCCTCCCGTCACACAACTCCCATATAGCCTTCATCGCGCTGCATCTTCCAGGCCCGTCTATGCCTCAGCAAAGTCTTTCGCACAGGAGGCCTGAAGCCGAGAGCACTGTGACCCCAAATGAGGCACCTGTCACAGGCCAGGGCAATGATTTCAACCCCCAGTGTCCTGCCACCGTGCCACCCCCCTCACTCGGACCCAGCGCCCCTCTCTTCCAGTAGGGTGACCAGATGTCCCGATTTTATAGGGACAGTCCTGATTTTTAGGGACAGTCCTTATATAGGCTCCTATTACCCCCAACCTCCTGTCCCGATTTTTCACACTTGCTGTCTAGCCACCCTAGCTTCCCGGCTGAGTGCTGTGGCTGTTCCACTCCCTCCTCCCCATCCCACCCATCCTGCGAGCGGGCAGCGCTGGGCCTGTCCCCCCCTCGCCCCCTTGCAGCGCTGCCGCCACCAGGGGACGCGTCCGCATTCCAAGCGCCCCCACAGAGCCATTCCCATTGGGCCGGACCCTCAACTTTAATCCCGCCCATCAAGGAAATGGCTAGTGCCCTGATTGGCCAACGCTCCTGTCATTAACACCAGCCGGCAACTGACCGCGATCTGCGATTGGTTGTTTCCCCAGCCGGACCGCGCCCTTCGCCCCTCACTCACTTTGGGCGGTTTGGGTAAAATGGCGCCGCTGCGAGTGACGGTCTCGCTCCGCGAAGGCACAATGGTCACCGCGGGGCCGCCCCGGAGCCCGCCGGGTCCCATCCGGTCCCGGGAACCGGCCGCTGCCGCTAACAAGCGTCCCGCCAGACCTGCCATCTTCCTGCCTTCGGCCGCCCTGCCCCGGCCCACGCTGCTATAGCGACGCGCCCGAGCTGTCCCCGGGGCGCCGCCGCTTCCTCAAATCTCGCGATGATTGGGAAGGGGTGGGGGTGTCGGGGTAAAGCGGCTGGCTCCAGTGCGCATGCGGAGGAGAGTGAGGGCAGGGCAGGGCTTGCCGTGCTACATGAACCCAGCTCTGGGCGTGACGGGGCAGAGGGTGCTCGGGCCTGTGAGTCACCTTCCCAGCGGGTGTCCACTCCCTGACCTCCCCCGCCTGTTAGTCACCCAAGCGCTGTCCCCGGGGCTACGCCAGGCGTGACTGTGCCCTGCAGTGTCCTGCTCCTTACCCCCTGAACCTCAAATACCAACTCTGCTCTCCCCAGGGGAACCGTGTACACATCAGCCTGCATGATTTAACTCCAGGGCAGCGCCTTGCTTAATATCACAGCGCTCAGCTGTAAGTATAGTAACAACAGGAATGAGATTATCAAATATCCAAAAGTCACGTGGTAGTTACATATAAAATATATAGCATAATAGATGTAACATGCTTTCTAGAGACTAAACTTAACTGACAGGTTAACCTGACCCATCGTCTGCCAGCAATGCCCCTCTGCCATGTATATTGGCCAAACCAGACAGTCTCTATGCAAAAGAATAAATGGACACAAATCAGACTAAAAAAAAAG